CCTACCCAAGTTTTAAAAAACAACGGTGTTGTGCTTATTTCCTTCAAAATGAGCAGAAAAACTCCTTAAAAACAAATAGAAGTCAATTTTCAGTTCATTTTTTTTTGTTTCTAAAAATTTTTCTGCTCATACGGTTTTAGAAATCCACGGTGGTGGAGCTGCTTTTTTTAAAATGAGCAAAAAAAAACTACTCAAAAATGGACAAAGTTGTATTTTTCACATTAAATAATTTGAAACTAAGCAAAATTTTAAAAAGTGCAACTCAATGAAAAATCAAATTTGTCCTATTTTAGAATCACTTTTTTGCTAACTTACGGTAAGCTAGCATCAACGCCGTTTTTTCAAAAACTGTATTAGCCGGAAATACGTTTTGGAAACGTATAAAATTAGTTCTTAACCTCTCACGTACATGGTCGATGCCATGCATCGACCCATGAAAATATGAATGACTTTCTTTAAAATTGATTATTTTCAAAACTATGGAATTTAACTCAACCAAACAAATAACAATGAAAAAAGGAATACTGTAGCTAGTTGTATCGAGCGTTCTCCACGCTTGGAAACAAAAGGGCCCGTCCGTGTAGCATTAATTAACTTCAAATTATCCAACATCGGAAATCGAATTCTGTCCATTTTTAAATAATTTTCCTGCCAACTTGAGAAAAAGCTACGATGAACATGATATTTTTTCAAAAAAGGCATGAGCAGGAAATTTTTTGGAAGCGTACAAAACTAGCTTAAAATGAGCTGCAAATTATCCAATATCGAAAATTCGATTCTGCTACTTTCGGCTACTAGGTATATTAACCCTGATGCGCGAAGGGTTGCGGAGGGTTGAAAACATTGAAGATACATAAATAATACCTTTCACATAATAAAATATCCAATGTAAATTTTCCAGATAGAGTCTGAACACGACAGTCTACATTGATAAAATTTAGATTAATTTTTCCCACTTTCGAGGTTAGCTTCATCATGTTGTTGACAATTGGTCTGATGAAAAGGATTAGTATAATGTAAATATGAAATTTTATTCACCTCTGTTATTTTACAACGTTCCAACCATATAATTCTTCAAATCATCTATTATCACTGATAAAATTAATGAATTTTTCTGTCCGCTTTCCTCTCCATGCAAATACACATTATTGCAGCGCCACAATCAAAGAGGATTGACTAAAGTAGAGGCCAAAGAGGATTGACTAAAGTAGAGGCTCAGATCTCGGAGTTAGACTGACCCCAAGCCAAAAGTAGTTCGACCCCAACGGAGGGATGCCGCCACGGTCGAATCTGACGGCTGAGCGAACTGCCTGTGCGGGTAACTCGGCAGTAGCAGTCCGGCTGTCACTGGGATAGTTTCGGAGTGGAATCTATGTCCTCCTCGTCCTCAGCATGTTCTTAATGTTTTTCAGGTGATTCATTTGCTGGCTAATTAATATTAAGGAATGAAACACAGAGGGTGTGATGGAGAATTAAATTCCCCATCAATCGATCCCCGTTGCATCCCTTAATCTCTGTAACAGAAAAATACAAACTACGACCAGTGTTACCAGATGCCGTCTACAATGGAGAGCCCGCTAGCCTCACTCAAGGAGCCCAAAATCGCCGTCAGTGCTACAAATGTGAGGAGTCCAAAATCGCCACAAATAGGAATTTGAAAATTGAATCTAGCAAGTGTTAACATTGTAGTTTCATCATTAGGCTTCAACATAGTTAGGAAAAAATGGATGATTTAACTAACAGGATTGATTGATAATAATAACAAGTGTGATTGATGGAAAAGAGAGTTAATTTTCAATATTTTATTTCATTTCTTACAATATTGAACACAAAGTGAGATAACTCTTTTCCGAACTTTCAACATATGTATATAAAATATTTGATATTGAAAGTAATAACGTCTTTTAAAGTATTAAAGTAATGAAACACATGATAAAAGGCAATATTAGCAACTTTTTAAACATTTAATATGGTGGATATAAGACCGTGAAGGAATAAATGCGAGAAAAACTATTTATTAAAAAAATTCTAAAAACGATAAAAGTAGAGAAATGATTTGTTTTGAACTCGAAGAAAATATTAAGGTCCTTATGACTTTATACCAACTATATCACATAAAGTAAGCGTCATTCTGATTTGATTCTTCAAAAATAAACTATTTTTCATAAGAAAAAAGTATTTTCTTCAGTTTTGTTATTACATGGAGTCTCAACGTCTTACTGAATAACTCCTTCGGTCCCATCACCAAAAAGAGTCAATGTCTCTTCCAGGAAGTCGACATTTTCCGTTGAAGTAGCTGCTTCAGTTATTGATTCCGATGAACTCTGGTACATCTGGGATGTGAACTAAGTATACATTTTTGTTAACGGTTTGAACGACGTACAACATGTTTTGGTAACATAAAAATGGACTCTAATCCGGAGAATAGCAGTCAACATTTCTGCCTGCAGTCTATTCCTCAATTTGGTTTTGACAACATTCATCACAGAAAAGATATGCTCAACTACTGCGTTACTCAATGGCAACGTGAGAACACTTAGCGCAAATTGAGCTAGCTCTTTGAATGGAGAATTGCCATTTGCATCTTTGAAGCCGAACAAGTGACTCCAAAAGGCAGATGTATCTGCCAGAACTTCCTGCGAGAAATATTCAGTCCAGTCAATGAATGGTATTTTCCTCAATGGACTTTCAATCGCCGTCTGGTCCAATTCTGAGGGAAGGAGATGTGTTGGGAGATCATTCAGAGTCAATTTCTGGCTAGTATTCAATATTCGAGTAGGCGAGAATCTGATTGACATTTTAAGAACTTTAAAATGGCTGGGCATGCGTTTTGCTAATTCTTTCGATAAAATAAGCAGATAATCTCGGCATCTGACCTGAATATCACCGAAGCCTTCACGACTTAGTTGATACTTTGAGACGGCTTTTTGAAATTCATAGCCGTAATCAACATCATTAATCGATTGAATGGCCAATTCATTATTCAATGATTCTTCCAACAATTGTACACTCTCTGTGGCCTTGATTTTCTCCAGAAATAAAGGTTTCAAAATACGACTTGCAACTGACATGACAAGTGCCCACAAAGCCTCATACACTTTGTTCACGTCTTTCTCTGTGCTTTGGAATAGGAGATTGGTTCGGTTAATGTCAGGTAGGATTGATTTTAAAAAAAGCAAGTATAAGTGGTTACTGGGATCATTGTACTAGGGATCATCGCTGCTAGGTTCTTTGAAATGTAACATTTCTCTTTTCCAGTTGCAATCATTTGAAAATGAGTTTTCAATTCTAACCACTGATCTAAAATTCGATTAATGGCTGCTCCTCATGCTAGCCATCGAGTTTTACTTAACTGAATCAATTTTAGGAATGCTGTGTCTTTGGTGTTGATTAATTGAAATAACTGTCGGTATTGTTCGATTCTGATCGAACTTCTCGAAAACCAATTTCGTGTTTGTTCGACTAGAAATTCCAATGATGAAGGGAAAACTTCAGAAGCTTTTGAGCTGCACAGATGGAGTGAATGACACACACATTTCACCAGGATCAAGTGTGGCAGTGGCACTCTGTCTCTCAGCAATACAAAGAGCGAGTGGTTCACACCACACATGTTATTAGCACCATCAGTACCAATTCCCATTAGATTTTTCATTGGAAGGCCAATTTCCTCCATATAGTCAGTTAACTTCTCATAAAGGACCTCAGCAGTAGTTTTTGTGACTGGAATCAACCCAAGAAAATCAGTGATGATTTCCCTTTTCGTGGTACTGAAATATTTAATGCACACAGCCATAAATTTTTGAACAGACACATCCGTCGATTCATCGAGAATCAATGAATAGTGTGAGTCACCAACATCTTTTACCAAATGTTCAAGCAACACCGGATTGATCACATTAGTAATTAGTTTTGAGCATTTCGTTCTGTGCAGTTTTAGTTTTTCCAAATTACTTTTTTTCCCGAGACGATTCAACAATTCACTCATACGATCGATCGAATTGATGGTGTTATGAGCAGCGACGTAAACCGCAATGCTGAGATCGATAGCCTTAGTGTCGTTATCGAGGGTGTCAATACCGCAAGACTTCAATGTCTTTTGTTTTTGAAACGACGAGGCATTGTGGCGATGAGTGGCAGTTGTTGTATGCTTCAGTAAATCATTCTTTTGAGCTCTGAGGCCAGTATTGCAATACGAGCAATATGCTTGTTGATTTAAGGCATTCTCATCTGCATTCTTCTTCAGCCAACCTATGATAAAGCACATTGAGAGGTCAAGTCATGAATCATTAATGTCATCAAAGACTCTTTCAATTAAAATATTATTTATACCCATAAATTCCGGTAACTGTTCCCATGATTTGTTGTATTTCTTCTCATACTTGCCGTACTTTCCCATTTTATTATCACAAGACACAATTTTCAAATAATCATTCAATCACTCTAACCACAATTAATAACATAAACATTCCTAGTGCAGTAGACATCCCGTATTCGACGCGGGAAGAAAAGAGAATATATCTCTAGCAACGGCCCTGCAATGACATCAATCGGTACTACAGGGTGTTACCGGCGGCTTTCGAGAAGCACATTCCGCTCAAATACCAAAGAAAATGTTGTATTAAAATAGAATAATTAGTAGTGGAAGAGTGTATTTCGTTAAATTTGTATTGAGTTAGCATAAAAATTCAAAAAAATTATGCGCCATATTTCAAGTAGCCCAAATCGCCTGAAATTGCGCTACGTAGCCCAAAATCGCCTTGACTGAAATTTGAGTAGCCCAGACAGGCTCCAGGCTCCAAGCGCAAATTTGCTGTAACCACATCCCGCCATGAAGTAGCCCAAATGGCGAAAAATCGCCGAGTCTGGCAACACTGGTTCGCCCAGCCGTCAGATTCGACCGTAGCGGCATCCCTCCATTGGGGTCGAACTACTTTTGGCTTGGGGTCAGTCTAACCCCGAGATCCGAGCCTCTACTTTAGTCAATCCTCTTTGGCCTCTACTCAGGTCTATCCTCTTTGCCATAGGTGCTAGCAATCTCCCTTATAATCTCTGAGCAAAATACTTGAAACACTCCAACGGCGTTCCCAATCATTTCCGTTCCCTTTTCCTTATCGAAACAACAGTATATAATAATAATTATAGCCCCAGTTATCAAGTTCGGAACTATAAATGAAAATATTCCACGTATTCTTGTGGAATTTTCAGTGATATGGGGGAATAAATAAAGAGAGTTGAGGTTATGAAATATGACTCATTTCTGATTTCGATGTTCAGAAAGAGCTCGTTGGACCGTTGAGAGATCAAAAGATTGAGATAAATCCAAAATCGTAGAAGTGTATGGCAATATATGGGTGTACTGCTTCATATGAACATGCAAAGGAGTCGTGTGATAAAACTGCGATAAGAGTAACACGTATGCATTTTTAGAATTTTTTCGACCAGTTGTTTTTCCTGTTTAGAGCCATGTGAGTAAAATAATTAATTCAGATAATTTGTTCTTGCTCACTTGCACATTTGCAGCCATACTAAGTATACAGGAGAGTCTTACACACTATATTTAATTTGACATATTCTTGTATCACAAAAAAATTATGTATACTCATTTTAAGGTACTTCCGTAGTAAGTATACTTGGTGAAAATTTCGAATGGTATAAAGACGCAATATTTGAATCACATGTTGTTGACCACATTAAAAAGATATTCCCAAAATTTCAAGTCCCTGGTCCACCCCATTTTTGAGATATGCATCGCCAAACATTCAATTTTTTTTTTCCATTTTTGACGATGAATGTCTCGAAAATGGGGTCGACAAGGTACTTGAAATTTTGGGAACAGTTTTTGAATGTGCTCAACAACATATGATCCAAATATTGCGTCTTTATACCATTTCGAAATTTTCACCAAGTATACTTACTGCGGAAGTTCCTGAAGTACCCGAAAAATTTTCCGTCTAGCATTTCACACTACATATCCTACAACCGTGAAATTTATTTCTCATTGACTGCAGAGGAATAAATACCTAGTTATACACAGCACTAAATAATCAGATGACAATCAGACAAATTTCATAGTGTTGTGTATAATTTCTATACTCATTTGTGAAACATTTTTACGCAGATAATTCTCATTTTTGTTAGCATATTTGATGTAATTAACAAGTACGCAATGCATAAATGGGGAGACTTTCAATAGGTATGATTAAGTGTGGGAAAATGAAAATGTTTTATTCTTTTCATGTTTAATTCAACTCGGTGCAAAGCATTATATGTGATAATTAGTTGTCTCCGTAACTTTCAGATACCGTCTGTGCAAGAATTATGTATGTACATATAGGAAAAATAAGAGGAAAAAATAGCAATTCAATTCCATAGTTAATTGCCAATCATTTTTGAATGTACAGTCGAGCACTAAAGTTCGTGAACAACCTGAACTTGTATCTTATGTATTCTGTTCACGAACTTTAGTGTTCGACTGTATGTAAATGAGGTGAAGTTGATCAACTTTTTTTGTTGATTTTCCAGGTTTATTAGAGGAATTGTAATTTTGTTAGTTGCCTCTCGGTCTTTCGGGGAGGATTATTATGAACTCTTGGGGCTGGAGAGAAATGCTGATCAGAAGACCATTCGACAGGCTTTCAAAAAACTTGCTGTTACTCACCATCCTGATAAAAATAGCGTAAGTGTTATAGATTTTTATAAATGAATCTTTACGAATGGTCATTGTTCATTCATTATTCACGTGTGAGGTGGATAAGATAACACCGCTGATGTGCCTAGTGTGGAAGTTTCTTATAATTTAGCTGATTCTAGGCTGTAAAGGAGAAATCCTAACAATAGTGGATAGGTATTCAAACATAAGAGCTTATAATTAATCATAATAATTGGGTCGTCTGACTGATTACCATGATTATGAATTTTGTTTGAGTCCAATTCAGGACTGATCTGATCTGGTTTGATTATTTGATCAGTACAGACCACATCTGTTGACAAGTGTCACAAGTATTCAGCAATAACGCAATTGATTAAGGTATATCCCAAGCCAATAGCACCCAAGAGGAAAAACATACAAATGACTTAATTTATTGCATTCTCATAAGTTTTTGAGTTTTTCTATCCTCATATGTGGACGTCCGCATGAAAAGGGACCACTTTGTCGATATGGAGTTAGGTATACTCTGATAATATTTATAACATTCCGCACATTTTGAGCCCAAAATGATCCTCATAGGGTGAAAAATGACGTCGCCGGAGCAGATGAAAAAAACACTTTAACATTAGTGTAAATGGGAGTTGCTGAGACAAAAACGTGAATATCTCGGAAACTACAATCGACAATGTGGTCCCTTTTCATGCGGACGTCCACATATCTTGTTGATGCAGGTAACAACTATTTGAATCAAATAAGAAATGCTTTCACGATATTTCCATTTTCGCTTCCGAATGGAGGCTTTGGTTTTGACTGATTTTTGGATTTTCTAATTTTGATTGCAAATGGTCTAGACTGTTATAAACCGTAAAGAAATGATGTTTTTAGGGTCATGTCTGTATGTATGTATCCGATAACTTGGGTTTTTGGTGATTAATTTTAGGAGATTCGACATAAATACGGTGAAATTTGTAGATGAAAATCTGAAATTTTAGCTCGTTGTAGATATTACTGATCTCAACTTTGGCGCACTGTTTCAGCCCGATCGGTCCAGTAGTTCTTGAGATATAAAAACTTGTTTAAATTTCGCTTTTCCTCAATATCTCAAAAACTACTGCGTCGATTTCAATTTTTTTTAAATTACTCGTCTCGATGACCTCTATGCAAGTCAATCAGAATATATAGACTCTTTAATACACAGTTTGGAGATATTACCGGTTTTCCGTTTTTATAAAAAAATCTTGTACCCATGATAACTTGAGAAAAAAAGGAGATAGCAAGTTGAAATTTGGTATGATCCTAGCTCTTGTAATACTAAAGGTTGGTATTTTGGATGGGTGCAATCGGCCACTCGGATACTGAGATATGCAACCTTTTGTGTCAATATATTTTTTAAAAACATCTCACAAACTATTCAACGGATTTGATTTTTTCTTCTTTCAAAATACTCGTCTCGACGGCTTCTAGAGAGATCAATCAAAACATCTACATCCATTGATTCGTTTTGAAAATTTTTTGCATTCTTGTACGCACGATAACTTGAGAAAAAATTAAGATAGCAAATTGAGATTTGGTATGATTATAGCTCTTACAATATTGAAGGTTGGTATTTTGGATAGGCGCAATCGGATGAGCAATTTCGGAAATATTTAACTTTTTATATAAATCTATTTCATTAAAAGGTTGAATATATTCCTGTAGACACGCTGTAGCAAGTTGTTACGGTTGTATGCCTGTCACAAGGATAGGGAATTGTTTCGGATCCATTCGGAAGCTTACTACTAATGGAATTGGTAGAAATAACAAAAAGAAAGAGATTAATGACGCAAAAAGTAACGGTCACATGCCTTGTATTGAATAGGCTCTAACTCCTGCTGTTTAGATTTGAATATCACAGAAACTATGTAGTACAAAATTTTACAAAAAATTCACCGTATTCGGGATTTATCAATCTATCGCGGATTCCTTTTGCGAAACATCATAAGAACCGTTTTCCCATATGATGAAAAAATGCCTCGCGTGTTAGAAGTCCGGATTTCGTTACTTATCATCTTCTAAACTGTGTACTACAGCCAGTTAGAATTTTCCCGAGTGGTAGCAACCATTCCTCAGAATCACTCTCGAAACCATCTTCAGAAATAGATTTCAGTTTTTTTTGTAAACTCTTAGAAGATCATTCGGGAGGGGAGTGCTTCGTACTCGTGATTTGTTAACCTGAAAAACTTAACTCTTTCGTTTGTTTGCAACGAACCTATCGGGAATTGCTCGATAATTTTGAAGCTCTCGTGGTATTACTTGTGGATATCATTAAGTTTGTTTTGATATAGAAGATCTAATGTTTGAAAAGTAATCCAGCCTTTACGATCAAAACTAATAGGTAATGCGAGTACTACATGATTGACAAGGAAATGAAAAAGGTCATAAAAGTAGATTACTAAAAATTGTTGACGTTTATGAAACATCGTCGAAAGCTTCCTCTTTCTTTAATGTTATTTCATGTTAAATAGGAGGATCCAGAAGCTCACATAAAATTCATAAAATACACGACAGCCTACGAGGTCCTGAAAGACCCAGACCTGCGTAAAAAATACGATCTCTACGGACAAGAAGGTCTCAATGACCAGAATACACAGCAGAACTACCACTCCTGGTCGTACTACCAGGATAACTTTGGAATCTATGACGACGACCCTCAAGTGGTCACACTAAACAAGAATGATTACCATGACAACGTCATCAATTCTGAGAAGATCTGGATGATAAACTTCTACTCCCCGATGTGCAGTCACTGCAGGACCCTCGCTCCTTCTTGGAGAAAAATTGCAAAGGACTTTGAAGGAGTAATACGAGTGGGAGCAGTCAACTGTGAAGATGATTGGTCCCTCTGTCGTCAATTGGGTATTCAGTCCTACCCAACCCTGCTCTTCTACCCCAGGAACTCTCAACACGGAATTGGATTCACCGCGAGGAAGAACTACGACGAGATATCAGAGTTTATAATGTCCAGCCTTGATGTGAACCTGGAAAAATTATCTCAATCGAGTTTTAATCGTTTGATGCAGGACTCCAGGTCCAGGGAAAAGTCGTGGTTGATTTTTACGTGTGGAAAGAACCGAAAGTGCTTCAAGAACGAGGATCAATTGAAAATTTCTGCAATTTTTGAGAATATTTTGACTGTTGGAATTTTTAACTGTGATAAAAACCACTGTAATGATCTTCCAGAGTTCTCTACATCAGCTGTGTTCATTCCCGGTGGAACTTATGATTCCAAATCTCCGGTTCTATTTGAGGAATTCGAGAATATTGATATTTTGGTACATCAAGTACTGGAGCAATTACCAGAACCCAAGGAAATCACTGCTAATGATTTTGAGGAGATTAAAGATGGTTTCGAGAGTGATTCTGAGGGATGGTTGCTTTGCTTCTATATAGGTGAGGAAGAAAAAAATTCAGGTGAAAGCGTAAAATTTAATGAGTAAATAAGATAATTCTGGAAAATTATTCCATATAAGTAACAATTGATAGTGACGATTTCAGTTTTTTTGTAAACTCTTAGAGGATCATTCTGATAAAAAAATGGAGGCTAGAAACATTTTTGAACTGTCGAAGTTGCCCTACCTCGGAGATCTTTTTTATAATAATATTTACGAGATTTATCCCATTTATCTTGTGTTCTTTACCATTTTAAAAAAGAATTTTGTGCACAGAAAAAAAAATCGAAAAAATTGATGTGCTCTGCATCAGAACTGGGGCACAATTGACTCAGACAGGCGTTCTTCGAGGAGAGCATCAGAAAAATTCTGAATCTTTGCGAGGATTATTCATATGCCCCCATGATGTTTTAAAATAAACTACCAGAAAAGTTCTACGATGGTAGAGGAAAAATTCTTCGGCAGCACATGAAAATTTGTGCATCCTTGTATTTTCTCGTTGATTCCTGTATTTGATGTAAAACGGCTAAAGAAACTTTTCTAAGCCAACATTGACTTTTTCTTGCAGGAGAGAGTGGGGCAAAATGAAAAAATCGAAAAATGACTGACGCAAATGAAGCAAAAAAAGTTTTTTTTGTTAAGTATTTCTTTTTATTGACTTTTGTTTATCAAATCTTTTCTATTATTAAGAGCACTAATGAAAATAATAATTTTCCATTCAGTAAAATGCAAAATTATTAAGAAGTTTTGACGGGAGAAGATTTTGTCAATGGACTAATTAAAAACAAAATGAAACAGTAAAATCCAAAGTCCAGAAGACGGCCCAGGGGGAAACCTAAAGGGGGAAGCGAATAGAAAATTATTATTCTTATCAGTACTCCCAATGAAAAAAATTTAACAAAAAAATTGTTTTTGCTTGAACTGCGTCAGTCATTTTTCGACTGTTTCATTTTGCCCACTCTCCTCCACTGCACCAGAATTATTCCTACGCTTGACCATGAATGCCATGAATGGCCAAGGTGGGAAGATGGATATTTTTTTTTGTTTCAAAAGATTGCCTCATCGTTAACTGGTATCCCTGAGGATGACTTTCAAAGCTTCTCAATTTTTTAAAATTTTCTTGAAAATTCTAACTGCATGCGAATTGGTACCACCTCCCTCCCCTGGGTCCCAAGCATTTAAAAATAGTGGAAACCAATTTTTAACTCCCCGAACCCAAGAGAGGTAGTTCTTGTAATGACCCCAAAAATCAAAAAGAGTAACTTAATGAAATCTCCACGTTTCATGACTTTTCGAATCTTCCTATGATGTTTTCGAACATCTGTCTGCCTGCCTGTGTGACGCAAAAATTTTTGGAACACGATTTCTTTGAAATGAATGGTGCATTTTGATTTTTTTTTAATCGATGCATCTTCACGTACACTGAGAGAGAAACAAACACGTTCTCAAACGAGTCTTGTTCGGGCCAACAAAATCACTAGTTGAAAATTGCCGACAAAGAATTTGTTTGGTTCGAATTTGAAAGTTTCAAACAAGAATAAGTGCTCTGTTTTCACCAACGAAATATTTGGCCCAAGAGGCGGATAATTCATACGAGACAGTGTCTTTTCAGGATTAAAATATCTCATATAGAGGAAAAATTTATCAAGAAATATTTTGTCCCTAAGTTAGAAGATTGCTATCATATCATTGTTATTGTTTCATTTTAGGGTATATTTCCTGTCTGTGATTATTAAATAGCCGAAGCGGAATACTACTATCCCTTGTGACGAAATGAGTTAATTTATTCCTTTTNTTTTTGATAATTTTCAAAAAACTATTTTCTTGGCACAAGCAAGACTTGTTGGAGAACTCAGTCGATTTTCTCTCAGTGTAAATTATNTCATTTTAGGGTATATTTCCTGTCTGTGATTATTAAATAGCCGAAGCGGAATACTACTATCCCTTGTGACGAAATGAGTTAATTTATTCCTTTTATACTCTTGTTTCACTCCGACCTCGGCTAGTCTCGGTGAGCTCACGGGTGGTTCGCTCAATCGGCGGGATAAGTGAAGGATAGAGGGAAGGCTAGCGATATTAAACCGACCGTACTAATGTGGGTAAAATAATTATATATTAACTTCTTTTTATACACGGTAGTGTTTAATGGGTCGGTATAACGCGGTACTTGACTCGACTTTGGGACCTTGACTTGACTTGGTTCTTGGTTGGCTGAAGGCCTGAGCTCAGAGATCTTCTCTGTCCAGCTCCCGAACGTACTCTGACGTACTCTGGTGCTTCCCGAGTCATCCAAACTCGTCAAAGTCCCAGAATGCTTACCTAAGCCATCCCACGGTTTTCTTCACTAATACGGTTTCGTGCATTCGTTTGTATAGAAACCTACACAGTCAAACAGTTCAGCACCCTGAACTGGACCTGTAGAAACTGTGGAACTGCTTATGCTGGTGTCCATGGGACACCGTGGGACTGCTGAGCAATGTTTGGATGAAGGGAATGAGAAACCTCGTTTCCCGTTCCCATCGTCCACCACTTTGGGCATAATAATTATAATTATTAAATAAATCGACGTATTGATCGATCTCAATACGTCACACCCTTGTTTCTCATAAAACAAACATTTTTCAGGAGCAAAATACGCATGGGAAAATCCTTGTATACTAAATTGTAAATACCTGGCTGAAGGCCCTCGGGCGGTGGCCAGTTGCAAGTTCTCGAACTTGCAGCAAATTTCGTTAAAAATAAAAATAAAATACGCCTGGGAGTATCGAATAGCAAAGGAATACGGCTGGAAATAACATTTCTTGCGTGTACAGAGAATGCAATTTTTTTTGAACTACTAAATCTTTTTTTGCGAATTTTTTATTTCGGCGCACTCTGCATGTTTGGAACAAAAAAATCAGTTTTTGATAATTTTCAAAAAACTATTTTCTTGGCACAAGCAAGACTTGTTGGAGAACTCAGTCGATTTTCTCTCAGTGTAAATTATAACTATTTGTGTACGTCCACGTGAAAAGGGCCCACTTTGTCGCATCTAGTTTCCGAGATATTCACGTTTTGCTCTCCACATCTCCCATTTAAACCAATGTTAAATTGTTTTTTTGATCCTCTATACTGACGTCAGTTTTCATTCTATCGGGTTGATGTTGGGCTCAAAATATGAGAAATCTGATCAAGATTATCGGAACGTACATAACTCCAATACCGTCAAAGTGGGCCCTTTTCATGTGGACATCCACTTTTTTTTTCACATATTCCACTATTTCTTCCAAAGTAATGATGTGATTTGATTTTTTTTTTCAATCGATGCGTGTTGAAGTAACTTAGAACTGATTAGTTTATGAAGATAATCGTCTCAGCGGTTCGTTAGTTATTTGCCTAAAACGTAAAAAAAAATGAAAAAAATTGGTTCTCTTTGAAAATTCAACAATTTTACCGAGTATAGTGATGGGATATGATTTTTTTTTGTACGGTCGATGCATCTACATCATTGCGAAAACACCGGTCTCATTCTAACATCGATATCTCCCAATCATACCCTTACATATTTTGATGGAAATGGGTATGACCCATTATGCAGCGAAACAATAATTTCCCGACCGATTCCTTTTTGCTTCCGAATGGAAGCATGGTATTCGTCGGATTTTGACATTCTCTAATTTTGCCTGGAAATTATGTAGAATGGTATGAAACGTGAAGAAATGATGTTTTTAGAAAATGTCTGTATGTCCGGGTCTGATAATTCGGTTTTTGGGTTACCACTTTTTAGAAAATATAACATTCATAGGGGAAAATTCATCGATATGGACATGAAAATTCGACCCATACTAGGTACTATTAAACTCAAGTTTGATCCACAATTTCAGCCCGATCGGTCCAGTAGTTCCTGAGATATTCAACTTTTTCTATAAAACTATATTGGTCAATATTTCAAAAACTATTTGACCGATTTCATTTTTTTTTCAAAATACTCGTCTCGATGTCTTCTATCTAGATCAATCAAAATATATATACTCGTTCATACAAAGTTTTCGAGATATTGCCGATTTTCCATTTTTTACCTAAATTCCTTGTATGCGCGATTACTCAAAGGAAATTCGAGATGGGAAAGCAGAATTCAATAACCCAAGATGATAATCGTTGTCTATTTACGTTGAGGCTTCATTCGACTGAAGTTGATGAATTCTCTCAGATAATTTCTTTTTATTCTTCTTATTCAAATTCATTTTACAGAAATAGGAGAAAATGAGACAAAGCTTAGATGACCGCCGCCGCACCCTACCGGTGTGACCACTACTATTTCTCCTATTTATTTATGCTATTTATTTTAATTTCATATTCATTTCAATTAATCAACTCCATATAAGCGATTTTACATTTTTGGTGTTCCCTAAATTCTTTGTTCGCACAAGAAATTGCGGAAAAATTGGGATAGGAATGTGACATGAGAAAATAGTTTCTCCTGTAAATTAAAAAAGGGGATTGCTATGGATCCATTCGGAAGCTTACTACCAATGGAATTGGTAGAAATAAAAAATTAAAATACCAATAACACATAAAGTAACAGTCACATGCCTTCTGCAATATAGGAGCGGTCAACTGCTTGTTTTTCTATTCATTCGAACATTGGGAATGTTTTTACATTGGTTCCTGCAGTTATTTTGAAAAAAAAATGTTATGATTCTATATAAATCCAGAAACACAATAGATAATTATCAACAAAATGTATTTAGTTTAGTCAATTCAAAAGTACATTGTCAATTTTGAAGAGTATCAAAAGACATAAAAAAGTTGAAGGATATGGAATGAGTTCAGAGTCTTAAGAAAAACAAAAACACAATCAGACACTTTGATTTTCTCAACACTTCCTCTCAAAGTTACTGATGTTTCTTCTCCAACTCAGTCTTCCTTATTAAACCCAACATTTTCCTCAACATCTCGAATCGAACTCGACCCAATGGCTTTGTCATAATGTCGGCCTTCTGCTTTTCTCCATCCACGTGC